TATAGAGGATGAACCAGCTGAAAATGCGCAAGTCACATATGAGGAAGAGGAAGGTGAACCACAAGAGATAGTATTAAGGAGGTCTATAAGGCAAAAAAGACCTGCTATTTCGAATGACTATGTGGTTTACTCACTTGATCATTAATGTGACTTGAGTATTGATGAGGATTCAGTCTCATTTAAGCAAGCCATGGAATGTTACAATTCTGAAAAGTGGTTGAATGCCATGAAAGAAGAGTTAAAATCAATGAGTGACAACAAGGTATGAGATCTAGTCGAGTTGCCTGAAGGTTCAAAACGAGTCGGTTGCAAGTGGGTCTTTAAGACTAAACGTGACTCAAAAGGCAACATTGAGAGATACAAGGCTAGACTTGTTGCTAAAGGATACACTCAAAAGGATGGCATAGATTATAAAGAGACCTTTTCTCCAGTTTCAAAGAAGGACTCTTTAAGAATTGTTATGGCTTTGGTGGCTCATTATGACTTAGAGCTCCACCAAATGAATGTAAAGACCGCCTTTCTGAATAGTGACTTGGAAGAGGAAGTTTATATAGATTAGCCATATGGCTTCTTGACCGCAGGTAAAGAGAGTATGGTGTGTAAGTTAAAGAAATCAATATATGGGTTGAAACAGGCTTCCAGACAATGGTATCTTAAGTTCAATGATACCATCATGTCATATGGTTTTGTAGAGAACATTGTTGACCGGTTTATCTATATGAAGGTCAGTGGGAGCAAGTTCATCATTTTAGTCTTATATGTTGATGACATTCTTCTTGCTACTAATGATGTTGGGCTGTTGCATGATGTAAAGAAATTTCTCTCTAAGAACTTTGAGATGAAAGATATGGGTGAGGCTTCCTATGTGATTGGAATAGAAATATTCCATAATAGATCATAAGGATTACTGGGATTGTTTCAGAAAGGCTACATCAACAAAGTATTAGAGAGATTCAAAATGGAAAAGTGCTTATCAGGGGTAGTTCCAATTCAAAAGGGAGACAAGTTTAGTGAAATATAGTGTCCCAAGAATGAGTTGAAGCGGAAAGCAATGAAATCTATTCCTTATGCATCAGTGGTCGGGAGTTTAATGTATGCTCAGACATGCACTCGGCCTGATATCAGTTTTGCTGGTGGAATGTTAGGCCAATATCAAAGTAATCCCAGAATGGACCACTGGAAGGCTGCAAAGAATGTCCTTAGGTATTTACAAGGCACCAAGGACTACATGCTTACTTATAAGAGATCTAGTCAACTGGAAGTGGTTGGCTATTCGGATTCAGACTATGCTAGATGTGTAGACTCAAGGAAATCTACCTTTGGCTACATCTTCTTGTTAGCTGGAGGTGCGATTTCATGGAAGAGTGGAAAGGAGTCCATTATTACTACGTCTACCATGGAAGTGGAATTTTTGGTGTGCTTTGAGGCCACTATTCATGCTTTGTGGCTGCGAAACTTTGTCTTAGGGCTTGGTATTATTGATAATATAGAAAAGCCGCTGAGAATGTACTGTGATAATTCCGCAGCTGTCTTCTTCTCTAAGAATGATAAGTATTCAAAGGGAGCAAAGCATATGGACTTAATCAGTTAAAGAAGAAGTGCGGAAACAGAAAGTGTTTATTGAGCATATTGGTACTGATTTAATAATAGCGGATCCGCTAACTAAGGGATTGCCCCCTAAAATATTTTCTGGCCATGTTGGTAGAATGGGCATTATAGACAAGTTCTTGTTAGCATAATTGTGTGATTCACATATAAATTAGTTTTCTCATATTATTGTAGACATTTTGAGAATTCAATAAAAGTATTATTTCTTCTTGTTTACTTGTTATCTGAATTGTGTTCATGTACATGTATGGTTTGAGTTTGATAACAAGTTGAGTGTTAAAAACACATCAGAGTTACAATCTGTAGTATGACTGATTAAAGCTATTTTGATTTGGGTTGGCTTTGTGATACTTGGAAGGAATCATGTCGTCAAATGACTTGTGACCGCCATGATCCGATCAACTTAAATCATTAAAAGATGATGACTTGATATTATCAATGATATGCGCACTTATAGTTTATTGAATCTTCAAGTCATCATATAGGCCAAGTGGGAGATTGTTAGATTATTTTAATAATCTTATTATAGTGGCCTATGTAACTTATAGCATGACTCTAATTAATGATTTAATTTGATGGTGGTTAAATATAAAATATAGAGTCATTGAGAGTATAATTGTAAATACAATTATAAGGAAATCCTCCCCTCTCCCTTCATATAAAGTAAAGAGTGGGGGGTTACGGCATTCTCTATTTGTTCACTTTCACGATCTCTGAGTGAGCTCACGGTAAACGCAAGAAAGGAACTTTTTCTCAAGACATGCACTCGGCCTGATATCAGTTTTGCTGGTGGAATGTTAGGCCAATATCAAAGTAATCCCAGAATGTAATAACAACGTAATTCAAGATCTTAAAGAAAATGATAATTTTATAATAGCTGAATCATAATGAAAATTATATAATAACATAAGAAAATTCTAACAAAAAAATCTTATAGAAAGGATATAAAATAATAATAGATAAAAATCGCACTCCATACGAACTCCCCCGTATCAAAGTCCGTTTTAAGTCATTAATTGGGTTGTCGAAGTGAACAATTTGGTTTGACTTATCAAAACTTATTGAAATGATTCTTTTAATACTATTCACACACTAAGTCTTCTTTTGTTATCTTATTGTAAACTTTACTGTAAAGTGATTATATAATTACAATTTCTCATTTGCTTTTACTTGTTATTTTTTTTATATTGATTTCGCTTGTTATTTTTCAATTTTAATCTTGTAGTAAATATCAAATACAGTTCACTTGCAGTTTGGATGTTTAAAAAACTGATCATTACCCAGAGTTAAAATAGTATTACAATATTTTAAAATATTTTAAAATAGAAATATTAAAATATTATCAATATTATTTTGAATATTAAAATTATGATCTTAAATAAATTATTTAAATGACATTAAAATGATTATTGTATTAAGTTATAAATTATAATAAAAGTTTATCTTTATATAATTTAGTGTTTCAAGAAATTAATATCTTAAATATTGAAAAGACTAAATTAGTGTATAGTATAAAACTTTGAAGGCCTCGAAAAAGGTTTAATTATTAAAATATAATTTATAAATTTTTGAGTATTATTATTTTCTATATTATGATAATCACTAAATATATATAAGAATAAATTAATAATTAATATACTCTCACAAATTAATTGATTCATAATAGTATACACCCTAGTATGTTAAAGAAGTTATCAAACCTAATATTTTTTTTATAATTTATTCTCAGAAAAATTAAGAGAAATTAAAAATATATTTTATTTTATTCTCTTCTATTTATAGATTTTAAAATTTTAATTCAATAAAGTATTTATTTAAAATGAAGTTTATTCTACTCACTAATTTTTATCAAAATAAATAATTTTATTATTAAATTAAAATTATTGAAAATTTTTAACTAATAAAATTGTTATTTTATTTTTAAATATAAAAATTAATAAATAAAATTTATTTTAATATTTTTTATTAGAACTTATAAATAAAATTTTATATCAAAATAAATTATATTCTATAAGTATTATATTAATATATATATATATTTTTTTTCTTTTCTATTAATATGTATAATAAAAAGTTATTTACGAAAAATATTTTAATTTTTTATTGATTTGGACCAAACTGCTTAGGTCACTTTATGGGAATCATGTTATAGGTCATACGTATGATTATAAGGATATTATAATCTTCAACAATTGTATAATTCATGTTATAATATAATCGCTTTGATATGACAACAATATTAATTTTAATGAATAATAATTAAAATTATTAGTAATATAAATTTCAGTAATAATATATAAATTATTAATTTAAAATAATTATTAATTTTTTTTAAAAATTTATTATAAAAATATTATTTAAAATAATTTTAAATAATAATAAATAAATTAGTCATTAATTTTGAAATAATAATGACTAATAATCATTTTAAATATTATGTATATCAACTATAAGTTATTTTATGAATAATATTTTTATATATTAGTCACATTAATTTTTATTATAATAAATATTTTATTTTGATAATTACGTCACAAATATAATAGTGACTTAATTATTAATTATAATATATAGCAAATTTAAATATTTTCATAACGATAATTTTTAAAACTTTTAATGATAAATATTATAATCATAATACATGTACTTTTTTTTTTATTGTAAAAGATGATGCAACATGTACATTTAACAATGCTCCTTTGATTAAGAGATACATGACGGAAAAGTAAAGTAATGATCTGCTTACAAATAAATGTAGGCATTAAATGTAAAACTTGACTTCTTTTTTTTCTTTTATATATAAAAAAATTGACCTCTTCTTCACTATACGAAATTGTTTTTTAAAGAAAAAAATACTCAATATCTTTTACAGTATAATTTGTCATATATGAACATTTCCGTAATGACTTTCACAAATTTATTAATATGTTTTCATATTTTTATTTATTTTACACGGCATTTAAATATTGAAAATAACTTTTAGTTCAATTTTTCTTTTAAATAAACATATATTCCATAAATATTTTAATTTAAAATTACATATAATAAACATATATTCCATATATATATATATATATATAGGTGAAATGACAATTTCAATGATGAACAGGAATGAACGGAGACCTATGAATAAATTACTAGTCATAAGTCGCTCTTTAGCTTTATTTTAATGTACACCAACTAACACTAGTTAAAATATTACCATAACCTGGTATAGGTGATGAGAAAAAAATGTATTATATCAAATATAAGTGCGATACATCATACGTGACAGTGTATGACAGCGACGTCAATTTCCATGAGTTTACGATCAACTAGGAAATAAACAACGCCCGTAACAGGTCATTTCCTCGGATTCTGCAAAGGCTGTGGAACCAAACAACTTGAAACAATTAGCTACTAAACTCATTTCCTCTATGAAGTGAAACAAGGCTTTCTTTGTATGTGGCTGCTCTTAAAGAATCGCACTTTCCATAAACATTGAGATCCTTTGTTTCATTTGATGTTTCAGATTCATGCAACACCAATCTTTCATTGCTGTTTTTCCAAATAAATCGATTTCCCCCAATGAACCCCACTAGCCTCCCAGTCATTGCTACAGGTCCAACACTGTATTGCTTAACCCATGACCCTTCGTCCCAGTAATCTTTCATCACCCACACGTCAAAGCGCTTCTCTGTTCCCTTTACGGGGTAAACAATGACACCAATTGTAGCAGATTCGTTGAAGGGTGCAAGAGTTGCAAACTCCTCTTCAGAAGAACAACGGATTCTTGGTACCTTTATCTTCCTGAAGGTTTCATTAACCATATCAAATGCTAGAACAACATCTTCTGTTCTACCAGACTCATCAACATAACCCCACCAATGACAACAATTGTTCACATAAGTGTAAACCCGAGAAGAACCCCAAATTTCAATTGGAAGTGGGAGAGCATCATCAAGTTTTCGCCATGAATTGGAATTAAGACTATACAACTCAGCTGTCCAATACCCAAGTTTTCTTTCATCTGTTTCCTTCAACCACTGGTCCTTGACCATAACAACCTTGTAGTTATTAGTTTTTGGGTCAAAGCCAAACCCAAAATATTCTGCCAGAGAATAAGTGCCAAATGAAACAGTGAAATGAGATTCAGGCAAAGACTTGAACTGTCCCAGTGAAGGGTTCATCATGACATTCGGATTTCCTCCAAGGAAGTATATGCCATTGCAAGGACCCGAAATTTCAGACCAGTATTTGTGGTCAGAGTTGTACTCATCAGGAAGGCATAAAAGAGCAGAGGAAACCTGCTTTTTGGGATCATTCATGTTATAAGAAACAACAGAAATATGAGTTTTAAGGCCAAAAAGAAAGGGTCTACCAATGACCAAGAGATGTTCTTCTTGGCTTTGAAGATTGTTGTAGACATCATAGTGATTGGTAACGAAATGAGGATCAGTTATGAGATCGAACCAGGACTTGCAAACCCGCTTGCATGTCATTAAGTCTTTTGATGGCAACCTTGAGAGGATGTTTGACACCAATTCTGCTGGCAAATTTTGCTCCATGCTTACCATCTCTCGTCTTGGTCTTTGAACCTTGAACAACGGTAATTTTGACCTGAGAATTTTATTGATTTTGCTAGGCATCACAAAAATTAATAGGAAGAATAGAATGCAAATGGAAAGCATGATTATGGTTATAAGCCTTTGTTTCTGTGGTAATCAATATCGAATCTGCGGGTTATATATATAATGGCAATTAATTAACTTGTTTAATACAAATAGTAGTTAAGAATTATATTACACCGCATACGAAACTGCCTCCTACCAAACTCCGTGTAGTGGCTTATGGTAGTAAACGATATTTTCCTTTGACGTTTTCTGTTCCCACTAGTTTTTTTTAAAAGACTTCTTATATTATTCACGCACTTTGCTTTTCTACTTTTCTTTTTTTTTTTTAACTAATCTTTTAACTAATATGGATACAATAAACGTGCAGTTTTTGAATGTTTATAAAAATCTTAACCCAAATAGTTAATGCGCCCAATTCGTAAACATTGTAATAAGAGTCTTAATTTGTTCTTCAAGAATGTTATATGTGTGTAATATTGTTGACCGTTGATTCTGCCCGATATCACCGAAAAGTAGAACAAAAACAGGCAACAAGAAAGCATGATTGTGGTTCGCCTTTATGGTTGAATTTCTTAAAGAAGAAAGAAGCGGTGCCTTAAAAATATTAATTAAAGAATCAAACAAATATTTTAATTAAAGTTATAACTTTTTAATGTGTATAAAAGACACGCAATAAATTAGATATTTTTAATAAAATCTCATCCCTTAATATAGATTGATAAAATCGTTAATTACTTAATCAACATCATGTTAGTCTTAATGATACAGCTTGACAAGGTCGATCCAATGAATAATAGATAAGGATTGCACTGTTCCTCTCCAACTCCATGTTAAGATGTTTAGGTTTTGCTTATTATTTGGGCAAATATTATTAACGGACGCGGAGAGTGTTGTCTCAATCTTGATGAGATTCTAATATTATCCACAGGCACTTAGGATTTAAAAATTATAATCATGCAGACTAAAAATGGAACCCAACAACAACCAGTTGTCAAACAAGTTCTAAAATGAAACCCAACAACCGGCTGTCAAACAAGTTCTACTGTGCGTGTATAGCTTTCACATTTCAAATGTGTTTTCTTAAATAATTTCTGCAAGTTTTCTTTTATATACTTAAATACTTACGCTTCTCAGTAGCATGTCAATAATTTTTCATAGAAACGTAAGATGAATTAATTTTATTGTTAAATTATCTTATATTATTTTTATAACTCTGTATATTAAATTTTAGTTAAACTAAATATTTATAAGTATATTATCTATTATTTGATATTTATTTAAAATTTTAAAATATAATTTTAATTCTTTTTATTCTTTATAAATATAACACATTTTATTATAAATTTTTATAAAATATTTTGTTATAATGGAGAATTTAATCTTTCCTTGTCAATTATCATATATTAAGTGATTGAGTTGACTCACACAAATTTAACTCATAATTCTTACTCTAGGATATGATACTATTTAGCTACAAAATAATTTTAAATAAATATTTTATTATTTAAAATTAATATTTATAAGTTTCTAAACATATTTTAATTATTTATACACAAAAAATGTTGATGAAAATTTATCCTCTTTCTCTCTTCTGCTACAATATTCTTTAATTTTTCAAACAACTTAGTTATTTTATATATATATATATATATATATATATATATATATAATAACTAAGTTGTTTGGGAAATTAAAAAATATTATTATTTTACTCACAGTTAGATGTAAGTTAAATGAAAAGTTCAAATTAAATATAAGAGTTTTTAAACTTATACTAGTGTAAAAAGATCATTTCTCTATATATATATAATCACGATATATTGAAATCAAGTATCAAAATTGGATTCTTATGTTATTTAATAATTTTTCAGAGAAAATAGGATTAATCTATAACTGAATCATCTTATACTATTTTATTACTTTTTCTAGTTTCAAGAGCTTTAAATAGGGGCAACAATGTCACATAGTGAACATTGTCACATGTTATCACTATTGAACTCAAATCCCAAAACCACCACCCTTCCAATCCTCTTCCAATGTCTCTTGCATTATTGTCTCCCTTGATGTCACTTTCCTTCTTCTTGTTGATGATTACAATTTTTGTCTCCATCAATCTTTGTTGTTACACCTTCTCAATTGCATAAAATTCAAGCATCATGATGTTACTATTGTCAAGGTCTCGATGGTGCCCTAATCAATGGTGCCCTAATCACCATCACTATCAACAAGCTCATCTAAATTTAGTGTTCATCAACATTTCACAAGGAGTACTTTTTCTTTGAGTTAATTTAAACTTTTGCCAACTTCGCTGCCAAAATTACCTCCTTAGATTGGAGCTCTCACCTTAGAAGGTTTTAGAACCTAAGAGTGAATATGAAAACTTTTTAAAATTTTTATTTTCATTTATTAATTAAAAGATATCATGAGTGAATATGAAAACTTTTTAAAATTTTTATTTTCATTTAACGTTAAAAGATATCATGTAGCATTGATGAGTTAAATTTCTTTCCAAATTAATTAAGTAGAGACAAATTTTAATAAGTTCAAAAAGTTACAGACTATATATTTTATCAAAATATTTTATAGAGACTATATACAAATATGATGTAATTTTTGTAGAAAATAAATATTTAATTGAGTCTATTTTATTTCAAATAAATCAAGTAATAGCGTTAACTTTTAAGTTATAAATTCATAATATCTTGTGTTCAATTCAACCGTACCAAAATAATGCACGTATACAAATTAATAAAAAAAAGTAAATAATTGTCATTAAAATTTAACAAGAAAAACCTTTTAATGAAAAGATAAAACAGTTATGTTTATATAACAAAAATAAACAATGATGTTAATAAAAAATATTAATATTTTAATAATTAAAATATTTAATATAATATAACTATTCTTTAATCTTTACCAACTTGTAGTAGGCCAGGAAATAAAATATCAAGATGCTTTTCTAATTTTATAGGTGTTGGCGTCACATGTTAATCATTCCTATTAATTAACAAAATCGTACGGTGTCAACTGGTAATTGACTAAACAGCTTGGATACAATAATTTGTAATATATTGAACTGAAATCGCATTTCTTGCACTATTCGTATTACAAATTGTCTTATTATAATCTTAATATTTCGGACAAGTAACGAAAGGAAAAAAGAAACTTTACCATTAGCTAATGCTATGTTGTTGGACGCCGAACCATGGCAGTATTATTTTTTGAGATTGGAGTTTATGATCGTTAGATAATCAAGAACGGGTGGTAAAGAATGATTTTGTAAGAAATATTTTGATACGCACGTAAAAGAGAATTTATTATTATTATTTGAGAGGTAAAATGTTAGAAAAGTCATTTTTCTTCAAAGTTTATAACGTGTACATTTAGAATTTAAATTAATTCAAAATATATATAAATTATATTCTTTTTATTGTAATAATTTTACTTTTGATTCACGTCTTTGTTAATTATGTTTTAAAATTTAAATTTAAAGTTATTGTTTATCTTTTTCCTATTATTTTATATAAATTTTTATATTTTTTTATAAATACTTATTTTAAATTTATAAAATAAACTTAACTTTTTTCATATTTTTTCAATTTAGAGTTTATTTATAAAAGTCTGGTCTCCTAAATTTATGGTTATAAATATATATATTGATTGTTGGTATTTAATTAAATATTTTTATGCAATACAATAAAATTATTATTTTAAAATAATTATATTTTAAAATTATTTGATATTATTAAATATTTATAGTTATAGAGTTAAGTTAAAATATTTTTTTAAATAATCGAATTACTGTTTAAAATAATTTTATTATATATGTATATAATTATTTACAAAATATAGAATTTTATTATTTAATTATTAAATTATATATTTATTCTAAAATAAAAAATATCATCCAATTGATATAAAACTAATATCGTGTTTAAGTGCGGATATTATTTCAATGACATTCCCTGAGAATAGAGAGAATCTACAAAGACAATGCCCAACATAGGAGTTAAGTGTGTTAAATTGTTGAAGAATAATACTTTGATATATGTTAAACGGAACTGTATTGAAGAATTTATTCATCTTACGACACTGCGAAAAAATTTTCAGCATATAACAGGATTTTAGATTGATTTAAGAAACAACAAATTTTAAGATAAATTCATTAATCCATAATACTTTTGAGAATAAGAAGAGAATTTAAAAGAAATTACAAATTCCTTTTCAAAAAATAGCATTGCTGCGATTTAAAATATTTGAATAAACTATAATTAAAAAAATTAAATTTGACAACATAATAATTTAAGGTAACAAGTTTCAATCAATTTAAAATAAATATTGCACGTAAAATATAGAAACAATTAAATAAAAATAAACATTGTCATAATTATGTTTAAAGTTTAAAGATATTATAATTTAAAACTTTTGAAATACTTTTATAAATTTACAAAAATCTCCCAAAGGTTTTTAAAGAAATTAATAAAATTTTGCATAAACATTTTTAAAGTTATCATCATTTGATCAATATAAATTTTTTGAACTTGATCTGTTTGGATTATAAATTAAATCTAGATTGATAAAATATAAAAATATAACACACTAGTAAATTAGTGAAATAAACTATAAATAAAAATACTTTAATATATATATTGAAGATTCTCTCATCATTGACAATATTTTACAATAATAAATCATGAGTACTATACATTATGTTACAATCCTACCTACAAGTCAATCTATTCGATATTTACATCAGTAATTTCATCAAGTATATATATATATATAAAATAATAAATGGGCTTAAAGGACTTAATAATAGAAAATTTAGGATGTTCAAAACTATTAGCATTCATATTCAAATAGGGAAGGAGAAAATTGGAGGCATAAGATAAACTAGAATAGAGAGATAGTTCAACAAGCTCATATTTGACTAA